CAGCCATCTCCAATTCAATTGTGTGTGTGTGTGTGTGTGTGTGTGTGTGTGTGTGTGTGTGTGTGTACATATCTTACCATCCCTGCTAGACTATAAACTTCTTGAGGGCAGAAATTTCTTTGATTCTTTTTATACCCAGAGCACCAATCCCAGCCACCTCCTAATAGTAGGTACTTAATAAATGTTCTTCGGATAGATGAATGAATGAATGGATAGATGGATAGAGGAGTGGGTGGATGGGGGGGAATAGGCAAAACTGATGTGGTCATTACTTTGTCTTCCTACTGTGACAAAGTGTTTACCAAGGCAAATGAAAATGAAACTAAATGTAATTCATCCATTCACCTGAACCTGAGACAAACAATATTTTGCTTTCTGCACACTTTAATTACAACCTTTTAATCCCATATTCCTAGGTTTTCTTGCCTGCCCCTCTCCTTCCTCCCCTAATTCTTTATTTCCTTTCTTTCTTTTTCTTTCCTTTCTTCCTCCATTTCTCCATTTTCCTCATTCCTTTCTTCCTTCACTCCTCTCCTCCTTCCCCATCACCTTCTTCCCTTTCTTGTTTTTTTCTCCTTCCCTTCCTCTAGCCTTTATTCCCCTTCCTCCCTTTCTTTATTTTTTCATTCCTTCTTTTCTCTTCCAATTTAGCTCCCTCTTTCCTTCCTTTCCCCTCTTCCTTTCCTGCCTCTTTTCTCCTTCCCTTTTTTCATCCTTCTTTCCCTCTCTTCTTTACTTCCTTCCTCTCTCCCTTCCTTGCTTCCTTCCTTTGTTCCATCCATTTTTCCTTCCTTCCTTCTTTCCTCCCTCCCTCTCAGATTTCATTCCTGATTAATATAATATCGTAAGACAGATAATCTTACTGTGTAAATAATTAACAAGAAGACCCAACAATTATTTTGAAAGAAAAAAGAGTGGAGTCTTTTTCATTAACTTTTCCATGATTCTACACAATTCTGTGAGATGAAGCTGTCCTCTCTCGCCTCCACCTTCAAAAATGAAGCTATATAACAACTTGGACTCCCATCTGAAGATGCTGTTTTCCTAATGCTTCCCTGGCACAGAGGAAGGTACCCAATTTTCCTAGTGATAGATTGATTATAAATACATTTCACATAGTAGTTATTTAATAAAGAGTTATTGAATAAACAGGCTTGCCTGTTCACTGTGGGAAGAAGGGTCGCCAAAGGCACTTGATATGCCTCGAAAGCCTTGGGTACATAGCACTTGCCTTCCCAAAACATGGATTCCTTTTCTCTACCCTAGCATAATCCTTTTCATCTTCAGTTCAGAGTCTTTATTTAGTTGGTTCGGGACCGTGGGGCTGCTTCCTAAGACCAAGGTCGTGGTTTCGTTCCCGAATGGGCCAATTAACTTTGTTCAGTTCCAAGGCCACAAATCACATCTAACTCCCTCACCCCTCCCCAGATCATGCTCCACTTCTCACCCTCCCTCCTCCTCTTCCAACCAACCCTTGAAAGGCTCGAACACAAATCCACCTCCATTCAGGAAAAAGTGACCCAAAGGTCCAGCTCTTAGGGGTGTGGAGCTTTATTTAGAGAAAGGGTCCCACTTTTTAATGGCGACATGGGGAAAGGATTTGACACCTCATTCTTCAAAAGGCAAAAATAAACCAAAGGATGTAGTTAATATGAATTTTATTGTAAATCTGCTTAGAAATAGGAGAGAAGGGTATCAATTTGGAATAAAAAATTATTAACACTTCCTAGTCAGACAAAAAGTGCCAGTATTTCTGAGAAGCAATATTTATTGTATTTCTTTTGTAACGAAAACATTTCCTGTGTTTTCCAATCCCCATACGATAGGAGGGAAAAGAAACAGCAAAAACTTCTTAGCTATACTTTGTCTGCAGAACGAAGCAGGACCCACATTCAAAAAACTGAAGATAAAAACACAACCAAAACACAACAATCTTTTTTTTTATTTATGTAAATCAGATCAACACTGGACAATAAACCAATTTCTACCCATTACCGTAACAGCTTGTCTATAAAGAACAGAAAATTCAGATAGGATACTATCTAGAGTCAAGCGGTTTTTTCCACCCATTCACAGAGGTATAGATTCACAGATAAATAATCCCAAACTACTTGCTCGCCATATTTACACATTCCCATTAAATTAAGCATAAATAAATATATACAAACTTAACATCGTTACCCTTCCAGGTTTCTTCTCATGAAGAGTCAGTAAACTGATATTTCTCGAGTGTGGTCAGATTCTTAGTGAATAAGACAAATCCAAGAAAGGAGTATATTTTGGCATATAAAGACGGATGGTATTCATTTCACCCTTTTAAAAGAAGAATTTTATTTTTGTCCGCCTTTTTTGTTTATTTTCAGATAGTTTAGCATACATTGGCATACGAGGGAAAACGTAATTTAGGCTCTGGAGGAGCATCAGATTTTGTTTTAGTATGTTTTCTTTTCACATAATACATTAAAATTTACAAAGTATCTGATGTGATGACATTCACCAAAAAAATTGTTAAGAAAGCACTGCCCTTTTCCTTTGAGACTTCGATAAAGGGAGTCAACAATCCCTAGGTAAATTCGGACTTTCCTTTTTCATTCCACCAAGTCTGTAGAAGATGTGACCTAACTGGTGGAGACAAATCTGTTTCTTAAGAAAAAATAATAATAAATAAAGCAAGGTGTTCAAAATCCTGCATAGGTTCTTTCCGTGGATGCAAGGAAATTGGGGAGCTGCAGACTAGAAAGGGGAAAAAAAGGATCGCTAGGGCAGAGAGCTGGAAGGTAGGGAAGTGGGGTGTCGCCGAATAGGGAGGGAAGGGGACAGTAGAAGGAAAAGATGTAGGAGTCTTAAAAGGATACTTTTTAGAAGTAGCAATCTGGTGTTGAAGTCATTGATCAGGGGCGCGAGCGCAATGTCTGGTACGTCCATAGTAGGTCTTCCATAAAGACTTGTTGCATGAATATCAGATAGAGTCCAAGTATACTAACTTTAGTCCCTTCCAAAGAACTTTCCTAGGCGAGTTTTGTGACTTTGGTGCCCTTAGTCTTTTTCTAACTTCGGTTTTGGATGGGGTGGGGTGGGGGGACAGATGAGAAAACCAAATGAAATAATTGAAGAAGGTGCCCATGCTGAGTGGATTGTGTTTAAAAAGAGAGAGAAGAAAGAAAAGAAAAAAGAAAAAAAAACACCGTGACCCACATGTTTGGTTTGAAAACAAGGCTAAAAGGGGCTTGCCTGAGTTAAAAGTCAAATTTTCGCGTTAATCCTACTGTTTATTGATTTATGGGCCCACGGAAACCAAATCTTTTAATAACTCAATTACCAGATAAACGTCAGAGCTGCCTGGCCAGCAAGAAGTGTGTTTAAGTGCAAAGGAGTGGGTATGGAGGAGGTTTCCTTGGAGAGAGGTGGCGGAAGAAGCCTCCTGGAACTTGTCAGAAGTTGAAGGAATGATTGGAGGTGGGGGGAACACATAAATATTACAGCGATGGGCAATCGAGTGGGTTTTCATTTATGACACATCTTGGTTTTTAAATATCCAGACAACGACATGTCTGCTTTGACATAAGAGCTCTCTGATCTGTTGTTGTTGTTGTTGTTGTTATTGGGGGGTTTTTGGGGGGTAGGGGGCGGAGTGGAGCGACGTGATCTAAGAGGGGTAAATCCCTTAATATAGCCAAACTAGATCTCAAGGAGGATGCTCCAAATGTGGACGTCTTGTCCAAACGGGACTCAAAAGGACCCAGGAGCCTTACTCCCCTTGATAACCTGTCTGCACTTTTCGGCCTGTTACCTAGTTGAGAGAGATTTGGGTTTTCAGTCCGGTTTAGCCCTTGGGGTGAGTCTGAGAGTGGGGAGGGCGAGCTCGACCTGATTCTGTTTCCTCAACAGAACCCGGCCAGAATCGGAGACACGCTTTCAAAGGGCAGTACTGGACAGTAAGTGCAATGCGTGTCCATTACGTTTCCCTCACGTCACGCACGTGGGACAGGTTGTCCTGCAAGGAAAGGAGATGATGGTTTTTCAGTGCAGTTTATCCGGGCTAAGAGTAATCAGAACACACCTGCTTTAGCTTGCTGTCGCTACCTGACCAGAGATGCTTCTCAGCTCCTGGAATAATAAGGCTGGAGCTCATATGCTTTATAACGCCCATCCTAGGGCATTGGAATTCTCCTCAAGATACAAGCGCCATGGGCTTTATGAGTGGAACTCCTCCAGCGCAGCTCTGCCTTTTTTTTTTTTTAACCCAACAAATTTGGCTCTGAAAGGCTAGGAGAAAAACCAGGAGGAAATGTCCTTGAAGCCAGGCACCCCTCGTGAAATGAAAATGCCAATCATTTTGCATCCTATGGAGATGCCAGCTTTGGCTGCTTGAGAGGCACCTAGCTGAGGGATTCTGCACGGGAGGTGAAGGAGAGCAGCGGAAAGGGGAGGGGGGAGTGTCTGAGCAAATAACAGCATTAATGTGTATGCGATCTACTGTAAATATTCAGAAGTCAAAAACTCAAGGCCAATAACATCTGGATTTTTATCTTAGAGGAATGTTGGAAGGTGGAGGGGGAAGATGGGGAAGGGGTGCATAATAGAATAATAAAATTGCACGGGGATGTTCTCCTTGGCCTTGCTTAGGAAAGTGCGTGTGTGTGTGTTTACACTGAATTCTGAGACATACCCCCCACGGGCATTTTCTTCACTCTGCTTTTTGGGTGTGCCTGGATTCTATATCTTATTTCAAGATAATGCTCGAAATAAGACAGAGAAAGTAGCTGTTCTGCCATAAGTGAGAGATCTTAAATGCATAAAACTCTACCCACTGGGAATAGTCAAAATGTATCCAGACGGCAAAAATCAAAGCTGAAACGTATCTCCTTTCACTTTGCATTATTTTACCATCTATATGCCAAAACAAGTGCATGCCTGGGAAAAAAAAAAAGACCCTCATTCATAAAGCATCCTGTAATATAGCAAGTAATGCAGAGACACTAGTGCCTGTTTCACCCCCCCCCCCCTGCTTTTCGTGGAAAAACAAGAATCCTAGACCATCTCAATAATTTCCTCTAGAGAAGTGGAATCTACTAGAGGAAAGAATATGCCAAGAATACTGGGCTCCCCTCCCTTTCTCACCTTCCCCCAATTTCCTGTAGACTCTCCCCTTTCTCCCCTTTAATTTGGTTTCTGCATAGAATCCCAGGGCTCAGGTCACTGTTAGCAACAACCATTTTGACAGCTGTTTCCACCTCGATATCGGGTGCTTCCTAAATTATTCCCTTTGAGCTTCTTTAAAGAAGTGCACCTGCAGAATCCTGAAATTACCGGCTTTGATTAAAAAAGTATCAGAACTTTGCTTGTCTCTGTACCTTATAGATTGTGTAGAAAGCCCAAGTCCTCTTTGAAGAAGCTCATAAACCATGCTGGCACAGCTTTGGAAAACAGAAGAGAATGAAATGGTACATACCCCTCCGAAGGAATACATACTAATTAACTTATTCGTATTTTTGTTTTGTTTTCTTTTGCTACAGTTCTGAAAACCGGTACCTCACACAGATATTAGAACAAATGGGAGGTTCCTGTGCAGACGCTGGCGTTGCTGGGAAATAGAAACACTTCTTTAAGGAAATGAGGAAGCTGAAGCAGATGACTAATACAGCTTATTCGTCCTTATATTCCAGATTCCCAGGCTCTCTCCCTAGTCCCTGCCAAAGATCGCAGCGACCTCCTCTACAGCTGTTGGCCTTCCCCTTCCCAGCCCCATCAACTTCCACCTCCCCTTCGCTAATCCTAACCATCAAAGCTATGCAAGGGGAAAATGGTACCTGTGACTTAAAAACGAAGCGTCAAGTGAAAATGAAAGGTTTTAAATGCAACGCCTAAGTCCCAGACACAAACATTTCATCCCGGAAGACTTTCGTAATGGAGACAGGGAAGAAGGGAGGGAGAAGAAGAGAGAATGAATTGGGAATGAGGGAGGAGGAAAGTTCGAAGGGAGGAGAAAGGGAAAGAATTGTCTAAAAACAGTTCGTGCGTCTCAGCCAACCAGATTTCAAAGCACTGACACCACCAATGTTTATCCGATTTTCTTCCAATAAGTTACTGTTTCTCATGTTTTGTCTTATGTTTATTTTTCCAAAGAAAAAAAATCAGGGTTGTTTTTTTATTATCAGCATTACTAAGATCGAAAGAACCGATGTGGAAAATCCGAGAGGTTGTCTCCAAGTGTATCTTGAATAGACACCGAGAACCGGTAGTGTTGCTCCGTTGTGCGCCTCTGATTTTTAAAAAGTTATTTTCTTTTGTTTTTTGTTAACTTTTGTTTGTGTGTGTGCTCTACCTAATATAATTCTTCCAAAGCCAATCCAATATTTTAAAGCTAAAATTAAAATGTTTCTTTTTTCTTTTTTTATTTAAAAGATTTTTCCCTTTTCCTTTAAAAAAATCATTTTCTGTGTTTTTCCTCCTTGTCTCCAGTTTTACTACCTGGTCCTTCCCCAGATGTGTGCCTGTTAGTGGTGCTGTTGTTCAAAAACATCTTGTCCATGCCTTTGAGAGCCTCTGTCAGGTAGTTCTGCAGTGCTGTGAGGGCAGCGCAGATAGCTGGAGCCCCAAAGCCGTGGGTGATGAGGCTGAAGTGGGTCAAACAGCTCTGAATCCCGGGTTCCAAAATGGGGCTGGGCCTACTGTTTCCAATGGGTGTCCTGTCCTGGGCGAGTAGGTCTGTAAATTCTTTACACAGTTGCCTACATGGGGAGGAACAAGAACAACAGCAAAAATGATACTTTCCATCAACATCTTTTTTCCTTCCTCATTGTCACCAAAAAAAGAGGAAAAACTCAAACTCAGAGACACTTCTAGCCATGATAGAAGTAACTTAGGTGATTCTATTGTTTCTCTTTCCAATTGCTTCTGTTGCTAAGCAGCTGGGGTTGAAAAAGAAAGAGGTGGAAATTCCGTAACTGGAAGGGAGAGTACTTAAACACCAAGTTTTACTTTTCTTCTATGAGTTCTTTCCATAGTTTTTGTTTTTCTGTTTGACTCTATGGGCTCCACCTCTGGACAGTTGCATATCACCCTGACATTATTTTCAAGATTTCTTTTCTTTTCATTCTTTTCTTTTCTTTTCTTTTCTTTTTAATGTAGCACACAGAAAGACTTACAATGGGAAACAATCTTTAAGGACATCTAATTCAAGTCCCTCATTTTATAGATGAAGAAACTGAGACTGGAAAAGGGTAAGTGACAAATTCAAGGTCATACAGAAATTAAGTGGTAGAACTGAATTGCAACTTGGTCCCCTTTTTCCAAAACCCAACTTTCTTTCCTACCGTTCCTCAAAAGTGACAACCCCTTTGAGCTCTTGCCTGACTTCTTTCTTTATGAGGCCACTTTCCCAAGCTTTCTTCCCTTTTTAACCACCTTTCTAGCAAAGGCAAAAGACCCTTAAGCACTTAGTCCTTCATTCACAAGTTTGACTGAGGTATAATATAGCTTACTGCAACTCTACAAATTGCCAAGGTTCTGGCTTAACTCATGCCAGTCACTGTTTATGCCAGGAGACCAATAAGGAATGCTGATGCCATTTTAAAAAGTTTATTTGGAGAATGTGTGAAAGAGGAGGATACTATTTTTAAGATATTTGATACCATTTCTAGTTGAGGTACTAATTGGGTGTTCACTGGAAAATAAGGGTTACAGCAGTAATTAAAAACCTGAACAATGGAAGGTTAGGAAAACAAGTGGGGAATAAGTGGATGTAAAAAAAAATAACACTCAAAATATTTATGATTAAGAGAAAACATCCAGCTTGGAATTATTGTATGCATAACTATTTATGAATTGTGTTGGTTTTAGTTCCTATAACAGGAAAATATAATGAAGCAACAATCCATATCCACTAGGAAGACAGCCTTTAAAAAGTGTATCTTATACTATGCCCTGAAGGGAAAAAAACCCCACACAACTTTATTTTGATTGGTTGGGTAAAGGCACAGAATTCCAGGGATGCCATCCCTTCAGGAGAAACAAATTCTTCTCTTTTTTTTTTTAAGTATTTCAATGGGGAATACCCCATCTGACAGTAAAGAATCTTGAGGGTGCAGTGGAATAAAAAGGCCTATCTTCTGTATCAGAACCTCAAATCTTAGCAGACTTTGCAGACTTAAATCAATACTTCACTTACATTGGGCAGGAAAGAGAGACCCAGTGCAGATTTCAGAAAGAAGGTGCTAAAATGCAATATGTTTTTTGCCTTTATAACATCTCTGCTATACACTTGTCCCTTCAGGGTAGCTGACCAGGAAAACGTGCTTGCCTTTGGGGCATTTTCTCCTTACTTTGAAGAAGGGAAAAATGCATTAGCACTCTCCCTCTTCCCTTTTCTTCTCCCATTTACCCCAGTTTTCAGAGACCCTTTCTACCATAGCTGTGAGTGAGAAATAGGCACTGTGTTAAATCTAAGATACCCCCACCACTACCACCAAGGGGTGAGGAAGATCATTAGCACAGAAATGCTGCAAAAAAGAGAAATCAAGGCAGCCCCAATCCTTTCCCAGGACAAAGACTGAAAAAAAAAAGACGTTGGGAGAGCCCAAGGACCGTACTCCGTTTAAAATGATGTCATTAAAAACATCAGTTTTACTACATTAGAAAAATAATGTATTTCACAGTTTCCTGACATCTATTTCCCTTTTCAATGTTGACCCCTTCTCTCATCTCTCAGGACCTTTCCCCTTCCCTACAAAGCATCAAATTCAAGAGGTCCACAGTCTTAGGATTCCAAAAGAAGAGAAGTCCCTTCCCCCAGTGAAACAGGGGAAGATCGATTTGGTAAAGAGAATGAGAAAGATGTCTACAATTTCAAGGGGAATTGGCCCTTCAGATGCAAAACTGGCCCAAAGTTGTAGGGAATCCCTGACAAGCTTTGATGGGGGAAATGGTTACAGTCTTTCCTTGAGTTCTGTTACATTACCAAAGTGCCAAAAAGGAAACTTTGAATTTGGAAGAACAAATGGTAGAGTCAAACATTTTAAATCTTCAAAGCCCAAACCAGGGTCTGTAAGCAATTAAAGTTCTGGGACATTAATATCTTTTGACCCTGTGGAAAGGGGCAATCAAATTCAAATCACGTCTAGAAAACATCTGGACAAATTTGAGCAAATGATTTTTCAGCCTTCCATATATTTCTTTAAATTACGCTGTCAACGGAGCAAACCGCGTCCTAGAGCACTAAATAAATGATCGCTGTTTGGGCCGTGCCTGCAAGATAAACGTGCGAGAACATGCAGAGCTGCACCACTGAAGGCCTAAGCCGACCATAAAACACCAAACAATATGACACAGAAGCCAAAGACAGGAGTAAATCAAATAAATAGAAAACCCACTGTAAAAGTTCAAATGAGCTATAGAGCTAAATTTAGCAATAGATTTACTATTTTCCCCTCTGGAGTTGTAGTAAATTTTACAAGTCTGTAGAAGATGACAAACAGTAACATTGGAAACATAGTAATTATAGATGGGTGTTATGTATAGATACACATGTATATCATATACATATCATGCATATATCCACATGTGTTTATTTGTATGTTACAGTGTAGTGTAGAGAGAACTACAGATAAAAAGGCGTGCAGAAATCCACATATAGAAATCTGAGGAAGACCATGGATACAAGCAAGCACATATTCAGTCTTTCTTAAAACCCCAGTGATGCTTGGGAGATGAATTCAGGGTACTCTAAGTCAGTCTCACACATACACCAGAGATATACACTGAAAAGGGAGAGGGATTGGGAAAGAAGGAAGGAAGGAAGGAAGGAAGGAAGGAAGGAAGGAAGGAAGGAAGGAAGGAAGGAAGGAAGGAAGGAAGGAAAAAGGGGTGAGAGAAAGGGAAAGTGTTAACAAAACCAATATTTATATATTGCTTAAAAGTTTGCAAAACAAATTTCCAGAAATTATCTCATCATCTCACAACAATCCTTTGAAGTAGGTACTATAGATATTTCGTGCAAAAAGTCCTAGATTTGGGTTTGAATTCTGGCTCTTTTTTGTATTCTATAATACTGAGCAAGTCACTTATCCACTCGGAACCTCAGTTTCTGCAGCTGCCAAATGAGAAGGCTGGGCTAGATGAAGGCTGAGGTCCCTTCCAGCTCTTGATCCATGATATTATCACCACCACCAGGCTCAGAAAGGATAAGTGTCTTTTCCATATCTACACAGTTAGAGAGGGAAGGAAGGAAGGAAGGAAGGAAGGAAGGAAGGAAGGAAGGAAGGAAGGAAGGAAGGAAGGAAGAGAGGGAGGGAGGGAGGGAGGGAGGAAAAATGGATCCCATGGGGCTGGTACCGTTAGTCATTTTCACCTTGCCCTACCTCCAAACCAGCATCCCAGGGAGACACGGAGATACAAGGCCTACGTACAAAGAGATGGAACTAAAGAGCTTTCCGGGAAAAAATTCCCCCACTGACTGCTCTGAGATTAAGTGGGTCAAAAAGGCAGAACCGTCAGGTCCCCTATGGCTTCAGCTAAAAAGGCTGAAGGGTAAGAGGCTGCGACCAGAGAAGACTGGGGAACAATGACACTCACTTTGTAGCCAGGAGCATATTCTTTCGGGAGTGCAGATCACTGGGATCGGTGTGCTGCCGGTTTAGATATTCCGAAACAGCTTTGGCGGGAAATTCAGTTTCGCAAATGTACCCAAAGTCCCGAGCTAAATGAACAGCTTCTCCTGAAAAGACAACCATAGAAGCCACGATCAACATGGGATCCTAAACGTGCCCAAGGGGATAGCAGAGATCAGCAATTTTCCCTCCCTACTCTGTAGGGACATAGGAGAGGGAGGAGGCTAGCTGCGGTTTTTTTTTTGGGGGGGGAGCGAATGAAAGGCTAGCACCTCTTTTCTTAAATCAAAGCGGAAAGATCAGTGTTTCTGCCCCCACCCCACCCCAAGGCCAGCTTCTGAACGTCTTTTCAGCCTGAACTTGAGCCTGGTCTTGTGTAAATAGTCAGTCAGGGTCCCTGGTATCCCAACTTCTGTCTTAAGGAGGTAGCAAGTTATATTCAGAAACTGCCTCTACAAGAGAGCTAAAAAGCCTGACTGCCCAACCAGATTCTCTCTCCCTCTTGTTTCTTCAGTCCCTTTCCCTCCCCGTTTCCAAAGCATGACCAATCCCCCTTTTAAAAATCCAAGTGTCACTATATTCCTCTCCCTCTCACCACACTGGAAAAAACATCAGGTGGCCAAAGATAATACATACATACACACATACATACATATATGCATGCATGCATTCATGAAAGAAATAATTATTCCAAATTTAATTCTAATTGTCACTTCCCCTGCTAGTCAGGTTTCAGGTTTCTACCCTCCAGAGGTTTGTGTCATCAAACTCCTACTGATGTACTTTCTGCCACCAGAAGACGGGGAGCTGGAGAAAACTAAGGCTCTAGGGGGGATTCCAGCAGCTTTTTTTTTTTTGCAGCCCCTTTAGAATAAAGCATTAAAAAAAACTCTTTAAAGCACCGCCCTAGGTGCTCTGGGAGAAGATTCAGAACATGCAAAACAGATATGTCTAATAATTTCACAACCACATCATTTTGAATGAGAGTGACTTACTTTTAAACGTCACTTAAAGGGACTATTAAAGGGAGTTCCCCTAATAGACTAACAGATTAATCAACTTGAAAACTGCTAACCAAGTGCTGGCATTTCAATGGACTTCCGGTTCCTCTCCACTGGGAACCTCACTTCTAAATGTTATATTGATGTCACCTTGATCTTTTCTTCCTTCCTTCCTTCCTTCCTTCCTTCCTTCCTTCCTTCCTTCCTTCCTTCCTTCCTTCCTTCCTTCCTTCCTTCTTTCCTTCCTTCCTTCCTTCCTTCCTTCCTTCCTTCCTTCCTTCCTTCCTTCCAACAATGGATGTACTAAGTCATGCCTGAACTTGAAAGAAATATCTGGTTTATTCACAATCCATAGTATTATCGAGATAGGCCCATAAATACTCTGGCAATTGTCCAAATGCAGCCTTTGGCACAGGTAACACTTTCAATGAGACATTAAAATACCCACTGCTTTCAACATCTGTGTGAGCAGTTCTTAATTATTGCAGATATAATGTCATAATAACCCAAACCTCCATTTTTGTTCCATTCATCCAAACCCCGAAATTGGTGTGACTATAAAGTAATGAGACTGAATCCACAGGGAACAGTTCAAGGCCATCAAGCTTGTCATTTTGCTATTGCAAAACCTATATAACAAAGTGTGTATCAGACTGCACAACTGTTTCCTGCTAGGACCATTTCCTATCTAGCCATTCTTTGTCCACGGATAGAATTTTGTACTTATTCCAGTCCTTTTGGACTGTGAAGACAGTCTTACTTATTGCACAACATAAGCAGGCTACAGCCCAACTAAGGAGTGAATCAGAACGCATGTAATTATGGCTAGTGAATAAGCAATGGATGGCTCCTCATAGAGTATTATTGGCCCCTTCTGCATTTTATTCTGGATGCAAAAGGAATCGTGAACATGATTAAATTATATTTCAGAAGTAATATGCTCAAGGTCATCTGCATGTGCAACGACAGCAGGAGTGACATAATAATTCCTAAACTTCCCATTTTATAAGTAAATAATAAGTTTTGTTTTGTTTTCCCCAAATTTTTCTGAAGGCTGCTTGGTGACTACATCAAATAGAGGCTACATATGGCTACATATTGAGCTTCCTTCATGGGATGGGAGATAGAACTGGATGACCTCCGAGGTCTCTTTCAGATCTAAATTCTCCGATTATTCTAGTTGAAAAGTACTATTTCAGTCTCTTCTATGAAAAACTGCCTGCACCCTCTCGGCCATTATTAAAGCATCTTTGCAGTTTCATCTAATCTGATGCTTGATTTATAGAGGCACAAAAATTGCAATGATTTCCAGTTAATCACGAAACACGTAAAATGTCAGCCTACAACCTAAACAGTTAAGATCAGCCAGTCTGTAAAACGAACTGCAATTCTCTGCTTACCTTCCACCAGGGAGGTGAGTAAAGTGACATTTGCGGCTTTGCGCCTGCCCGCGGGTAAATTCAAACCGATTTTTTCTAGCCTTTCTCTCAAAGATCTCCCCCCATTTTTCGATTTGGCTCTGAAATTGCAAGAATTAACATTCTGATTAACCTCACAGTGTTCCTGAAACAAAGTTTAGACTTAGCAATCTAAAGACCACTGGAGCTTGAAGAGGTTTTAACTTGAGGTTAGCACATTTTTTCCCCTTTCCTTTTGGTTGTTTGCTGATAGTTTGCTGAGGTTTGCTTAATTTCTGCAATATAGGACATTTTAAAAATTGAGTAGTTTTCTTTTATCTCCGGAGAACAAATGATACCAGATGGGAATCATTAGTGTGTAGGTACTAATATAAGTCCAGAGAAGGTAAAACTTGCATGCGTGCACACACAGAGACACACACACACACACACACACACAGAGTTATTTTCTTTTAGATAAGTCGCTAAAGCGGGAAATATACAGATAGTATTTAAGGCAGAGCTCCTGAGCCTTTACCACCTACCTGTCCATTCTCTTTTATTATAAAGTCCCATTCCCCTGTGAAGGAAGCAAGGGAGATATACTGTCTAGATAAAGTAGTGTATTTACTGTAGTAACAAGTGACCAAATCAAGGAAAAGAAGGGGCAGGTTTACTAGAGAATGAGTAGAGTAAATGGCAGGCTTATCATCATATCTATCTATATGCACACATGTTATACATGTATGTACATGTGTTGGTTGGGTGGATGAAGGATTGAGAAACTAAAACTTTTAAAGGAATTCCTAAACTCAGTTGCTGGGAAGATCTCCATATTTCCATTACACTTGAATCAAAGAGAACTGAGAGTAAAAGGGACAATAAAGCATTCACCAATAGGAAGACCATGGTACTGTGCCTAGTCATTGACAGAGCCCTAAGAAACCAAATCTACCCAATTCTCTCTTCTCTTCATTATGGACAGAAATGGACAGAGCCTCCTTAGCCCCCAAGGCTGTTAGTGGAAGGCTTTTTTTCATTAAATATTTTTTCAAAGGGGAACTCTGATGATCTGACTGTGAAAAAACCACCAGAGAAAAAGCCTCATTTGTCACTGTTGAGGGACAATGGATGTGTAAGCAATCCCCCTTAGGATTCTTCAAAACTTAAATTAAATGACATCTCTACACCCGATTTTCAGTGAGAATCCTTGAGGTTGTTCCACTTCTTTCTAAGTAAGAAGTGATCCAAAGAACGCCAGGAAGTAACTTATAGAGAGGAACAGTTAATTCCTCCTCCGCCCCCCCCCCCAAAAAGCACATTGAATGTATTCGGGGGAGTCATGGGTGAAAGAGAAGAAACAGGATATTGTCCAGGCACCTGCTAAAGAGGACAGAAAAAGAAAGGCAGAGAAAAAAATCATAGAGAAAGCGAAGGGAATAAAAGAGCACCCTTGCAGTGCTGTGGTCTGATTGCTTTAATTTGAGAACATCTCGTTGTTCTGTGCTCTCCTCTCTCTCTCTCTCTCTCTCTCTCTCTCTCTCTCTCTCTCTCTCTCTCTCTCTCTCTCTCTCTCTCTCTCTCTCTCTGTGTGTGTGTGTGTGTGTGTGTGTGTGTGTGTGTGTTGGGTTCCTGAGCACGTGCTTGCCTTGGGTTCACCAGTTACGTCCTGATACCTAGAATTCATTTTCTTGTTTGCTGAAGACATCATTTAGTCTTTGCCTTCCATGCCCCCCTCCCCAACCGCAAGCAAAAATAACACATTGTCTGCCAATTTCTTCTGCAGGGTAATGGCACAATTGGAGGTGCATGTCGGGAGAACACATTGGCTATTGAGGAGTTTTACCTTCGCAGGACTCCTCCAAGGAGAGAAGCGTTCAGGCATTCAGGAGGGGAGAGTCGTCTTTGAACTTCCCCTACGGTCACTTTGTACTTTGAGGTTGAACTGAGCAGGGACAAACGTCCAGGAACAGAACAAAACACCTCGCCTGTATTAACCGACATCCTCCCAGGAAGCCATCTTTATTCATCATCAGAGAAGTCACAGATTTGGGAGGAACAGGAACTGAAAAAAAAAATAAATCATATAATAAAGGTGGCCAAGAAATTGAAATCTATCTTTGTGATATTGTGCCCAGGTTACAGGATAACATCCCCCCCCCACCTTCCTCTAGCAAACTAGGTGAAAGAAGCAGAAAATTGTAGCCTTGTCTGTTAGTTTGGCACATCAGCTCTGAAGAGTAAAAATCAAATGGGCAGACAACAGTCTACATAAAAGTCACCGAAATCCAAATGGACTAAGGTATTATTTTGCATTGATTCTGCTCATTTCATCTCCACTCTGACCTTATTTATGAAGGAAACAGTTACTGGAGGTATTTTTCCATGAGAGTGAAATAAAAAGGATGGACTAATTCTCTTCGAGAGAATCCACATTTGTAGCCAATTCGATTCTTCTTTACTACGGTTCTGAACTAGAATAGAGAGAGAAGGGACTGTGGCTATGGGGCCCATCACCTCAGGATGCAAGCACCCTTGTTGCAAAGCTTATTTGGGAATTTGGGTTTGGATAAAAAGAACTTTAAAGATTATTTAAAGTAGAGATTTAAAAAATGGCAGCTCTAGAAACAAATACAGATGATTTAAATTCTAAGTGAAAACAGTTCCCCTGGTGACATGGATTATATTTAAAAATTAATCTAAATGACTAGCTCATAATTGTTTGGAGGAGTTAGAATTTACAACAGGTGCTCCAATCAGCCAATCAATTTCCTTTTATATGTTGTGAGGGGGTGGCCTTCCTGAGGTTACTTCCTTGTGGCAAGAAATTGATAACAAATAGTACTCCAGGTGTGGTTTTTGCAAAATTAATATGACCTGACAGCTATTTGCCACTGCAACTAAAGTGTATTCCACCTCTCCAGGCTGATTTTTTAATCGAATTTTTATTTTCTTGCTTTCTAAGCAAGATTGGTGGTAAATGATAGGGAAGGGAAAGGAAGAGAAGATAAGAACTTTAAGTTGTAATGATCAAGCAAGCAACATAATCAGACTTCCTGCTCCCAGAAACTTATAATTGCTGGTCCCCATCCTTTTTTGCATGCTGTTAAGGTGACTAGGTAGACATCTTCTCTCAGGTGATGTGTTTAGGTAATGCTCAATTTAGGGTGACCCCAACACTTCCAATCTAGGTGGAGAAGTGGTCTTCTTCCCCTGAAATTTAGGACCTGAGTAATACCCTAACCTCACCCTGTTGTTCCACATTGTCAATCTCTTTATGCCACCTGGATCTAAGAATCCTAATATGTTATGCCATCTGACAATTTCGTAATTTCAGTTTCACGAACTAGGTACGGCAGAACTTTACCATTGTTACAGCTTACTGCTCACTACCACAGAACTTCGCAATCAGAACCTTGTGACAGCCTAGAATCTCCTTAAAAGACATCCCAAAATTAGAAGTATATTGCCTCCTGCAAATCTATTTAGTCTCTGCTCTACAGAGCCTAGACCAACTATGAGGATGAGCTTTGAAAGTCAAAAACTAGTTGTAAGAGCCACAGAGACTTTTCAGGGCCCCAAGTCTTATGTATATTTTAAGAGAAGTTTTTCTCCTTTGTCTTCTCACTCCCACCCCCATCTCCACTAAAGTTAGTCCAGAGAGAACACTCCATCTCAATTGTTTGAAAAAGAGAAAAAAGAAAGAAAGAAAGAAAGAAAGAAAGAAAGAAAGAAAGAAAGAAAGAAAGAAAGAAAGAAAGAAAGAAAGAAAGAAAGAAAGAAAGAAAGAAAGAAAGAAAGAAAGCAGATAGGATTCACCAACGCTTGACTTTCTAAGTGGATACTGAAAGGCTTGTCTTCAGTCTAGGATCCCTCACCTTTCTCTCAGTAGTGAATATTTTCATCTGAGAATGGCCCAATGAAAACACTCATGGGGTTGAAAATGAAATTTGAAATTTAAAGTGACCCAAGTTAAAGTCACTCTGTTTATTTAAAGACTCTGTTAGGCATGGCCTATCTTTCTATTCTTCCACCTAACAAAGCCAACAAACTTTAATATACTTCTATTTGGACAGCAGCACCTATTTTGATACATCAGAGAGACACATGGCCTGTGAATTCCCCAAGGCAACACAAACAAGTGCTCTAGAATATTTGAAAGGTGCATTAGGTAAGCCTGGAAGAAATATTCAGTCTTATAATTTATCAGCATCGTTTTCTCTTCCCTTTGGTACACTCAATATTTTTGAAATTTCTAAATACAACTTTTGAAATTTCCAAACTTAATGTGATGTAACAAATAGATGGAATAAATCTTATTTTTGGCTTAATGCAATTTTCCATCATCTTCAATTGAAATAAAATTGGAGAAATGTGGACTTTTAATATCCCACCTCCCCTGTTATGGTACTTCTCCCCCCACCCCAAGTTCATGTCTTGCTTTCCACAGGACGTGAACTAAAATTCATTGAGATATCTTAAAATCCCCTGAGACATATGATATCACATTTGGGAAGTTCCAGAGACACAGTCTCTTGAAAAACCATACCTCTGGAGACATTTATAAGCTTCCCTCTAATTTAGCTATTGTTAATTACCTGATTTACCTGACAAGAGTCAGTTCCTTTGGGGAATATATTTCACTACCTCCCACGTGTGCACAAGAAGGTATGTGTGCATCTATGCATATATATTAGCACTTAAATACTACTGATCTAATCAGCCATCAAAAGTGCCTGAAGAATGGAGTGGCTTCATTTACCTAGAAACATTTATGTATGTACTTATGCACGTCCGTATGTATATTTTGTTGTGATTTTTTGTTCTGCTTCTAGTTTCCAATTTGTTTCAAGTGTCAAAATAATTTCCTCTAACCCTCATACAGAGCACCAAACTTCTTTCTCGATTTTAACCCTTTCTGTTGAATGTGACTTCTCTTCCATTTCCCTAGAGCATTCTTTCCTATTCCAAATTCTCTCCTCCATTATCACCTGCCTACACCCCAGCCCACTTTGCTTAAGCCTGATTAACCTAATATTTTATTCTCTTTGTCTTTCTCCTTCCGTTTCCCCTCAGCTTATCAATAAACCGACAGAGCAACAGTGCCCGGTTGATTTGTTAGTAATTATGAGCATACTGTTCTAGCGCACGAATCTCTAGATGAGTGAGATAGGTTTAAAACGACAGCAGGAAATGGTAAAGAAATGGAGCATAGCAAAACTCAGCGTGAAGCTTTCAATTCTTTACATGTTTACAATTTTCTGTGCATACATTAAAGTTGAGTGGTTTCCCCGCCCCTAGTTCTCTATTGGGTTGAACTGGCAGCTTCAAGATTAAGAAAATACAAAAACTCATTTAATCTAACCCTTTCTCTCCAATAAGAAGGGGGTGGGGAGAAACGTTCATTAAACAGTCAATATTTCATTACAGTGACCAAAGCTTTATTTAAGAGGAAGAGGGGAAAATCAAAGGAAAATATTACTTTAATGAACTACATAAAACTATTAATATTATAACTGTTACTTTTCATAAACTTAGCACAGTGCCTGGCATATAGTGAGGGCTTAATAAATGTTGATTACTTGGAATCTTTACTTTGGGTTCCTCTGGATGACAGAGAAGTCTGAACTCATTCTAATTGTTCCTTGTATTCGTTTAATACCAGAGGTGGGAGAGTAAGATGTATTAGAATGGAATGTTGTAAGTCCCCTGGCAAGAGAAAAGTCACCTGAAAGAAATCTTCGCGATTAAAAATAAAATGGACATGTCTCTCTGGAGGTTTCCCAAAGATTCAACCCCTCTCTGAAATGGTTACTTAAATCCTAGGTCCCTCATTTTCCTGCATCCTAACCACCTCCTGTTCCACCGTAGGACAAAAGTGTACTCTGCTTCGCTGGTACTTGAAAGGATCTTTGCCCAAAGGGGACAGCTTACTTTCGGGAGAAAATCAGGCCCCCAGAAGGAAACCTGATGCATAAGTCACATTTCACACTACAGGTATCTGTGATTTTATTACTCGGGTGGCTGTAATACGATCTTTTTTTTTTTTTTGTACTTCGAATGTGGTTATTGCGGTCCATTTTAGCAGTGGAAAAAACTATGGGGTTGGCATGTGTGTGGTAACTTTCGAAGTGATTGGACACTTGCAAAAGCATCGACGGACTTCTGGTGCTTTCACCTTTATGTAAAATAAAGTGCTTTCCCATAACCATGCAAAAATACGTTAGGCTTCTTTAGTGCTTTACTTTTTGCAAATCACTTTCACACCATATCTCATTTGCTGTCTACCACACCACCCTGTGAATCAGGCAGGGAAAATGGAACTTGATCCCTTTACTCTAGAAGGAATATAACTTCAGAGAATATTAAGTGACTTGCCCAAGGTCACAAAACTAGTCAGAGGAAGTGGCAGAATTAGAACGTAGGTCTTCATCGTCATAAACCCAATTCAGTGCGCTTCTACTACACTTTGTTTTTTTCTGCTAAAGAAAAAGACACAACAATTTTATGGGGAGGGGGGAGAAATTATGGATGCTTTTCAGCGGGAAAAAAATGAAGAGAAAGATTGAAAAGAAACCAAGAAAATAAAAACCGAAATAGATAGGTGACTACGAGCCATTGCAACAATATATGAACTTTGGACTTAAACCACGTCACAATTTCCAGGGTGTCATATGACATGTTTCTGAGGTCCGGTGTGTCAAACAATTGTCTTTTGGGTTCTGAATACTGGTAATATTTTAAAAGGAGAGTTGAGCTTTTGGGGAACGTGTTATGATAATGGTGATTATTTCCATAAGCAGGGCTCCCCCCACCTTCCTGATCTTAATGGAACTAAGAGTTAAGAATGATTTTTTAATGTCTCGTTGGATTTTTAGACTGTTAATGTACCGCATCCTTCTCATTATTACTTTATTGATTGCTCATTGACCAGCCCCCTTCAAATCGTATTAACCACCCTCTGCCAGTTTAGATTAGGAGAGTTTAAAAAGCACCTTTCATTATCGCCCCCCCACCCCCACCCCACAATGGAGTTCAGACTTGGCAGCTTAATGTTAGCTCTAATGGGGCAGCTCAGAGATGAGGGGCCACGGTCCCTGCCTATTGCATTAATAGCTCAAAGGGGGCTAATACAGAAAATTAGCCTTAAACGAGCTCTGGAGATCTTCAAATGAAAGAGCCATTTATCACGCTGGCTACCTTCACTCCACTCGTTTGCTCTCTCTACTGGGAACAACTCATTTCCTCTTAACTAAATTACTTCAGAAATGTCAACTAAGCCCAGATAGCAAACATAACAAGAGAACAAGCCTAGAATCTATGTTAGGACATCAACAGAAATGATAGATTGAATAGGTTAATTTTCCCCAAAAGGTTTTGTTCTTTTTAAAATTACCATTATTCTAGGAAGAAAGAATGTGTGCAAAATACCCAGGTTCATTAGGATCCAATCTCCTGTGATTTCCTAAACACAGAATCCTCGAAGACACCCAGTCTTTGGATAAGCTCTTTACCTTCTGTTTCATGAGCTAAACTATTCATGGAAACCTCCATGAATTAGAAAACACATTAAACAACTCTGACTGACCAATCATTTAAATTTAGTCTACCCAATTCAGAAACCCACCTTTCTCACCCCCTGTATTGCACAATTAACCTGGTGGACACATTCCTATTAAAAGTTATGGTGTGGGGAGTCAGAGATGTGGGAGAGAAGAAAGGAGTGGATGAAGAATGGAGTGAAGAGTAATAAAATCTTAAACTGAGTGTTAAGTGGTTGTTTAATTCTTTTACCATGAATGTAAGATTAAAAAAAAAAAACTTAGCTTTTCTTCATGGGATCTTCTCTGCACTTAGTATGATATAGTATTTATTAAATTATGTAAACAATACTTGACAGCAGTTTATGTACACTTTTTCACAAATAAATTTAAATTTTAAATTTTGGATTGTAATGACATATGATTATTTTGTTTTCTGACAGAAAGTTAAACACAAAACTTTTTAGTATAAAAATTGTGCCAGTTTAAAAGAGCCAGCAACTGTAAAGCAATATTTTAAAAGGTATCCTTAATTCTCCCTATTCATTAAGGCCTTTATATTTACACACATGCTTTATTAATGTATACATACATATATAGATGAAAACAATATGTCATGATATATAGCTTCTGCTACATTCAACTGTAAACTTTAATTCTAAATATTTTCAAAGACTGTATATTATTACCATTTCTTGTTATTCATGTTTTATATGCCCTTCGTAGATTCCACATGCTATAACTATGCTAGAGTAATGCCAAACGTGCCTGTAGCCAAAGTACATAGAAAGTGTTCTTTCCTTACACACACACATACACACACACACACACACACACACACACACACACACACACACACACATCCTAGCCCAAATCAAACAAAAGCAAGTCTATGGGAAAGACTGTACCCTTGCTACCATGGATATGAGTTTCAAATGAAGAAAACTCCCTCCACAAATCACTCAGCAATTAACCAAAGGGAAAACCCAAGAGACAACGATGTAGATTTGCTATCAAAGAAGAGGGCATGCTTCACAAAAACTGCAGCATCCCAAGTCTGAGCATCCAGGCTGAAAAACATGCAGACTTAAAAGCAAGCCAGCCAAAAGAAAACCGAAGTAACTAAATGGGGGCAAGAAGCAAAATTTAACCAGCACTTCACGTAAACAGTTTTCTACCCAATTCTGACATTCCACATCATGATTCTAAAACCAAATGCCAACATGTCCTCATTCCAACATTTCCTCATTTCATTCTAGAGCAGTTGTTTTTCCCCAAAGCTAGGAGATAGGCCATCCTAAAAGAAAAAGAAAATTTGGAATACATCACTCCATCTTGAATCTGTATTCCACAACCCTTTGAATGTTTTGGCCTTTTGGAACATTTTATAGTTTCCCAGAGAATCCTTTCTTGTAAAGACTCTGTGAATTTCATTTGGATCAAATGAATACTAAACTACTGAGACCAGGCGTTGTTGACATTAAGCATAAGTACAGACATTCTCCAGGCACTGCTAAAGAACATCCTACAGCATTTAACACTGTATCTTGGAATAGCAGTCCTTTTGATAATTAAAGATCTCACTGTTAACACATTTGGGTTTCTAAATTTGTGGTGAGTGGCATTAGAATATTTCTGCAGCACACTCAGCATTCTCCCAGTGACTGTCAGAGGAAGAGAGAGAGAGAGAGAGAGAGAGAGAGAGAGAGAGAGAGAGAGAGAGAGAGAGAGAGAGAGAGAGAGAGAGAGAGAGAGAAAAGCAGCTGCAATACGCCCGAAATGAGTTATTGTAATTACATTTAATTAGTTTAATTAGTTAATTATTTTGCTTACAGCTGTACGAGAGACTGCAAACATTTGTTAATATCACATGCCCTTTAACAGTATGGGGTGATTCTGCAGTCACATTAAATCATATATGCATATGTATGTATAAAGATTTTAAAGTATGCATTGACTGCTTCTTAGGATATGTGTTTAGCAAACAAATTTGGTGCAATAGAAAAATAATAACCCATAGTGGAATCTTCACCTCCCTAAAATTCTAAGTTGAGATCAAGAATTACAAAGGAGTAAAAAGAGAAAATATAAGCTATTCCAGTGCTGCCTCTGCAAACTCCAATTATTGCATATTTTTCAAATAAGGATATCCTAACTAGACACAAATCCTAATTGTGAGTTCAACTGCAAGAACATATTTAAGGTTCTTTTCATTCTCTTTAGATGAATATATGACCAGGAAAATGACAACAGTATTTTTTCCTTCCCCCTCCCTTTTTCTTCCTTTCCTCCCTTCAAACTTCTCCCCCTTCCAACCCAATTTCCGCTTCCACACAGTCAGTCAAGTCAATCACTAGGGCCATATCGTTTTTGACATAGATTTATGTCTCATAGGATAAAGAATTTCCTCAAAGTGAAAACATATTATAAAGTCATTAATACACAATATAAGTTGGTCTGCTTTGGGGAGATAATCCATACCTTTTTTAATGACAGACTGGTCCAATAGATTCATGCCGCTGTTATTGGCATCTTCAACTGACTGTGAATATAAAAACATCACTATTCAAATTGACTGGATATTAAAGAATCACACACATAAATCATGTCATTCCAAACTAGAGTTTCTGTTATTTCCATTTATATTAATTCACAAAGGGAGGTGGTTTATTATTATTATTATTATTATTATTGCCCCCAAATTGACATGGAAATGAAATTCACCCAAAAGATACAATCTTGCAGTGGAAGAAGGAAAAAGGTGAGAGCCATCTGGGGTGCAATATTGAGTTTTGTTATCATATAACACATAGATAATCCATAGATGTTTTTTGCATCCAATAAACCTTTCTATCATTTGCTTTTAAGGATTACAGCAATTTGACAACAGCTGTAAGATTTTTTGATTTTAAGAAGATTATAAAGGACCATTTTTCTTTTTAGTTTTATCCCCCTGTGTCTTAATAACTCAAGAACAATTTCTTTTTTATACATAATAGTTTACATTACGGGATTTTAATTAAAGTCTGAGCAATTTGGAGTGGAATGCAAACAGCAACACATAGGAACACGTTTGTAAGCAAACAGGACCTCACTACTATTGTAGTTAGTACATATTCTCTGTGCGTGTGTGTCTCATTTCGCAATGAGAAAAAATATGAGCCTGAATAATTTACTTGCTTTATTCCCAACAAGGGTGTTCTTTCCCCAGCAAGATACACCTGTTAGGAAGCTGTTCATTCTAGATTACATAAACCAACAGCTCTCTTCCTTTCCATCCCCAAATAAAACCCTAACCAAGCCAAACTCAAGTAATTGCAAATAAGAGTATTCTATGTTACCTATTACAATGCCTCAGAAAAACGAAGTTAGATACAACTACTTGCAGCAGATTTCTATGGAAAAATAACTTATTGAGGAGTCCATTTGTCAATTTAAATTTCCAGTACAATACGGTTACAGAAATATCACCCTTACATATAGTATGCACTTAAAACATGTTTCTTATATTAATTGAAAGGAATACGAATGTGGTCATTTATGTGATTAACTGACCTTTGATAACATGACTTTTGGATTTTGTTTTCTATAGGGGGAACCCCTAAATATATTTCATAAACTTACAAATACTTTGCCTGGTCCCTGAAGTCTCCTGTTTTGGCTCTTTTCCCCTTAGAGTAATTTAAGTAGAAAGTAAATTACTTTAGAGTAAGATTATATTTTTAAAGGGTCTCTGTCACCATGGAACAATATATAACGAGTTCCATCCCTTTCTCCTGCAATTCCCAGTGTGTATGTGTGTGTGTGTGTGTGTGTGTGTGCGCGCACGTTTAATACAGATAAACAAGTGTATGTGTGTGTAGTCAGGGACCCACTTAAAAAATAACAGAAATAATCTAAGCAAATGGTGTGGCATTACGTAAGGTGGCTTTTTAAAAAGTCACTTTTCTGTCATAGGAAAAATGAACAAAGTTGATATTCTTTAGAAAACAAATTCCATTGTTGCAATTACTATATCATTACCTCCCTTTTCTTATGAAATATAAATTGATTTTAATCCCTGTAGTCATACACACATACATGACATTTCTATATATGTCTGTGGGGAGATTTATAAATGGGAAGAAACACATTTCTGGGTGTAAATATGCACACATACATACTTGTAGATCTATACACATGTGCGCATATTTATATGCGTATATGTGTCTTATATATACATATATATTACGCTTCATCAGCAACGTGGGTTAGTTGTTGTAGTTAATGAGAAGACTCTTGTCTGATTTTCTATCTAATTACGGCCGCCTGCTGGGTTTTTGTACAGGATATTCACGCAGCATGCTGGCACTTAATAGTCACAGAGAGGATCGTAAAGATTTAATTAGGACTGCATGCGGAAACGTGGAAAAACAACTCAGACTTTTAATTACTAGACTTCTTTAGTTAAAAGTGATACCAGGGGTTGCTTTAAGAGACTAGGATCCTTTCTATCCAGCCCTACCCCCACTCCACCTCCAAGTTAACTTCCTCTTATGCTTAGGTAGTAGTGGTGAGGAGAGAGAAAGGGACAGGAAAATAAGAGTTGCCTACAAAGTCAACAATTTTTTAAAAGTACTGTTATCCTCTCTCTCTCTCTCTCTCTCTCTCTCTCTCTCTCTCTCTCTCTCTCTCTCTCTCTCTCACACACACACACACACACACACACACACACACACACACACATGAGTGAAATGTAGCATACACAGAACCCAAACAACGATTTGCTGGTTTAATAGCCCCTGAGAGTAAATTGAAATAGATATTGACAGGGTTTTATAGTTGCATTTAAAAAAAAATATTAGAAGCATTTGGTTAATTAGTTCCCCTCCCCCAATCTGGGTGGTTGCCCTTCGTGTGAGTCAATGTGTCTTTTCACTAAAACATGGGTCCATGCTTCCATCAGGTATGAAAGCTGGGAGAGGCGGGAATGGGAAGTCCGTGCCTTCGGTTTTTTTGTGTGTCTACCGCAGAAGACAGATCTGTGCACAATGAATGATCCGATTTTCTGTTGCGTTTTTCCCCGCTAAGGCAGATGCTTAACCTCCCGGCTAAGGCCCTGACCTTACAGACCCTGTAATTAACCTTTTTTCAAAAAGAACAAACGCCTACACCCTAATTCTTGGTTGTAGTTGGTTGTTGGAAGGACACACTTACACATAAGAATATAGGCAATATTTAACCCTAGTTGCTATCTTTGAGTTTCTCTTGGCTTCAAACTCCATTCACAACTACTTAATACGCCCTTGAACCATTCGATAGAGAAGCATTAGGTTTGTTCACCTATAACAACCATATTCTGCCCTCCCTTAATTTTGCTTCCCTTTCTTTCGGTCTCTGTCAAGTGAACGGCCTCTTCCTTCCCATCCACTTATAACACACCTTAGGAAACCTAAGTCATCACAGCTGAGTAAGTGAAACCATTTTCCCCTGCCATCCTCTCACTTCTAAAAGGGGGTGGGAGTGGCAGAGGGTGGGAATTTGGGGCGGAGGGAGGCAACAGAGAGTGGGAGGAAGGAGGGGGTGACTCCTTTATGGAGCAAATCGTTTTACAGTACTGGTGTGTCTCGGGCTAGAGTTCCCACGAGCTGTTTTGCAATATGAAAACTCTTCATTTAAAATCTTTGAGGAACTGGGGAGGGAGTCAAAGTAGGGATGGAAATCACCCCCAAATCCGATAATCGTCCAAACAGCTCGATGGAAGGAGCTCTCCTTTTGCGAAAGTGCTTGTCTACTGACTGTTTTCCACCAAGTGGAATCCTCAGCTTTGCTTCAATTTGAGAATGTTGATACCATTTTTCCAAGCAGTTCTACTAACCCTGACTCTATAACCCCACAAATTTGTTCAAAGAGTCAAATTTATATACTACTCTGACCAAGACAAAAGGAAAAACAAAACAAACTACACAACTAATCTCTCAACCCCGACCCCAACCCTCAAACAAAAAAAGGTGGAATGAAAGTAGCTGCAAGATCTTAAACTATTCCATAGAAATATTAATAATATAACTTAAGTACAACATTCCTTTCTGTGGTCCAGATTGTGATAGTAACTATTATCATTATCAATAATAAGTTGGTATATATTTATTATTCAACACTTCAAACTTTATTCTCTCAGAAAGATTCATTTTAAAATATTTTGTTTTACATGACATGTTGGCTGATTCATTATAAAATTAAATATATCCTTTATTCTAACATGCTTAATTTAACTGGAAACATATAGTCAAACTAGGTTAAATCAGTAAAACTATACGATTCTTTTCTACCCACAAAATCCTTTAGGCATCACAATCTGGAAGTCTGTACCTTCTTCAGGAATAATAAACAAATGACTGTGAAATTCCTTGAAAAAAACCCCCAACACCCAATAAACTCAATAGTATGGACCACACATATAGCCTGCGATGTCTTCTCAACATGTTAAGTGTTTAAATATATACAGATTAAACAAGATGAGGGAAAATCATCTCACCCTCCTTTTAATTTCATTTCTCTTCAGGAGTTTTAATAAAAGTATGTATTCTATAGAAAACTAAGCTTAAGTGTCTAGGTTTTAAAGTGTCAATTAAATATCGGACAAATTCATATTATCCTGAGACATTTTAAATGAGGGAAAATCGAGTCCTGGGTAGAATACCCCAGATTGTTTATAATGCATCACTTCTTGCCTCTTTCTTTGTTTGGTTTCACAAATTAATCTCTACAAACCGAGACCCTATTGTGTAGGTTTGCAGATGGGAGAGAAATTGTTCTGAGGCTTTTGTTTTAAACACTAAAACACGTGATGCATTTTCACATGGGGGTAATGGGATGGGGGGGAAGCGGTGTATTGGTCCTAGAGGTTGGAAATAGTGCTCCGAAAATTGTTGGTACATTACAAAAAAGAGAGAGAGAGAGAGAGAGAGAAAGAGAGAGAGAGAGAGAGAGAGAGAGAGAGAGAGAGAGAGAATAAAAGACAACCCACGTGCTGCCCAGAACTCCCCCAAATGAACTGACACTTTCGGGGCCCTCCCATAATGCCTGAAATGCTTGCCCACCTAGTTCTCCTCCCCAGAAATTGGTCTTTAATTTGTCATCTCAAATTACCTGAAAGTCATTCTATACCCTACAAGACAGAAGAATCCCGGCTTGAACATAGGTGTATTTTTCACAAGACTCCCTAAAGAGAATGTGTTTGTCATCAAAGCATCTTTAATCGCGCTCTAAAGACAGGTATCAACTAGAGGAAAGTCTCTCATCTTCTTCCACTCTGGAAGTCTGTTTTTTTACTTACTAATTTTAGTGGGAAAGTTATTTGTTTCTGGGTGTGTTTGGGAGAGACTGCCATTCTTTGCTCAAAGCACTATAGAAATACGCAGAAAAGGGGTGTTGAGGGAGAAAAAAAATTTTTCCTCGTTCTGGACATTGTATCCTAAAAGAGAATCTTCCCTAAGTCTAATTTCTGAAGACTTTTGGTGCCCATAACTGAACCCTCAGAGTTTACCACCTATATATTACAGGCCTCCGTGTATAACTTCTTTCTGCAAAGATTCCAAACTCAGCACCTTGGCAAAAGTGATGGAGATGGAGCAAACTCGCGTCTCTACCTCCTTCAGCCCTGCCCCTCTTTCCTTCCTAAGCACCCTCCCACCTTCCCCTCCCATAAGACTCTTCTTACCTGAACGTCTTCCATTCCTGGGTGTCCGATGCCATGCAAGGAGAGACTGTCCCCCATGCCAGAGTCCAGTCCATGGTGGGCCGAGTGTAACAGCACATCAGGCCGCCTGACTGAGTGGTAGTCCCTCCTCGGATCCAGTCCCGAGAGCTGAGGCAAGGCGGCCCGAGGCTGTGGCAGGAGAGAGCCGGCTTCTGACCCCACTTCTTGCCTCTGCCTCTGCCCCCAAGGATGCTGCTGGGGTTGGTGCAAGGGATTCAGGGAGTAGGGATCATTAACGTGGGAGTAAGGATCCTGGCTCTGGTGATAGGGAAGCGGCTGGTAAGGGGGTGGGAAATAGGGCGGCTGGAAATCCGAGGACGGAGTGTGAGACAACGGAGGGGCGCTTGAGTAGGGTCCCTGGGACACTGAACCCAACTGGGACAGCCTAGAACTGTGGCTGGGGACTCCATCATGCCGGTCCTGAAAGTAAAACAAACAAAAATACAGACAACAAACGGAGAAAACCTGATTAAATATACTAATCACAAAAGAAAAAGGCTGAAAGAAAATAAATCAAAGCCAGAAACTTAGACCCAAAGTTCCCTCAAATTGCACAAACATGTTCAAAATTTCCTAAAGGCAGAGCACTGAGGGAGAAAAAAGAAAAATGAGAAGGAAAAGGGGGTGGGGTGGGGGGACGTGGAGATGGTGATGGAAAAGGGACCAAAACAAAACCCAACATGTGAATCTCCTAGTAGCAAACCAAGGAAGGAGGGTGAGAAGAAGTGATGGTAGGGGTGGAGAAGGGGAAGCTACTAAATGCCATAATTAAAAATGTAGGAGTGCTATATATGGTATGTGCTCTCTACGAGGTTTTGAATAATTTCTCCTAACTATTCAAGGAGCCCAAAGCATAACAAAATAGAATGTGAGACGTATATACATTCCGGCTCACCTTCTGTTTAAAATCTGCAACTTAGTCCCTCATTGGAAGTTCAGTCCCGATGACAAGTCACTTATAATAGAACACAATAATGCTATATTCGCATACTAAAAAGGATCTGATCGGATTCTCCACTATCCCCTCCCCCGATGGAATTAAACAACTTAGTGTCTGATTTAAATTGATTCCCTTTGAAATAATATCCCCAACCAGGGTTAAATTAAGTTGAACTGTGGTTTCTAGGAGTTATTCCTAAGACCGCTTTTCCATTTCAAACACTATTATACTCTAGGGTGTGAAAATGGAGGACTTGGAGTTGGGAAGGGCTGGGGGCTGGGGGGGGCAGTCCAACACAGCTTAGTGTGGGTCATAAACTAAACAGAAAGACCAGGGGGGAAAGAGGGAAATAGTAAATCTAACTTTCTTCTGTAAATATGCCATGCTAAAGTAAACCAGCTTTCCTTTGTAGAAACAGTAGTTCAAATCTCTGACAGCAATGGCAAAAAAGTTTTTTCTCCCCTGCCCCCCCTACCCCAGCTGACTTGTCCAGCTCAAACCGAGAATACACAATGCAAAAGAGAGAAGCAGCTGCAGCCTCCTCCAATTATTGTGCTAAATTACCAAGCCAAAGGCGAGAGAGAGAGAGAGAGAGAGAGAGAGAAGAGAGAGAGAGAGAGAGAGAGAGAGAGAGAGAATGAGAGAGGGCATGCAATTCTTGTACAACGTGGATCCGAACTCACCATGGCTGAATAGGTGTGGACTAACATCTGGAAAAAAAAGTCTGGTTACTGCTAAAAATAAAACAATGATAAAAAAAAATCAAGGAGAACGGCAGAGAAACGTTCTGGACACAGGAGCAGAGCTTGAGGTATTTCCAGGACTATCCATCAAAAAATCACCCCGAAATCAGACTGGCAGTGTACAGCACACATAGAGAGATCTGCTAATCTATCCTCTTTCTATTTTTCTCTTTTTTTCCTCCTTCTTTGGGTTTCCAGATACAATCCTCTTCCACCCAAAGCTAGGCTCAGACTGCTTCGGTGCCCCTTCCTCCCTCCGCTTGCCTACACCGCCTCATAATAATTGATATTCATGACTATTAATATTACACGACTACTTTAAAGGGAGAATGGAGGACAAATGGAGCGTGAAGCTGCAGCTAGCTCGAGAGCTCCCCTACTATTGTAAATGACGTTCATTCAGTGGAGAATTACTAGATGTAATCAGACGAGGGGGGCTGGCAAAAGCAGAGTTGGGGAAAAAGTTTAGCAGGGAAGAAGCATAACTTCAATTAAGTGAGCCGAGGAGATGTGTAAACCAGACACTGCTTATTTGGAACAAGGAAGTCCGAGAGAGCAGCGCTAGAGGCGAAAAACAAAAACAAAAACAAAAACACATTTCCTTCTTTTACATTTAATTATACATTCTTAATACCAGAAATTGATTGCCCTTGGTGCTTCGTAATGATTTAAAAAATAAAACGCCCTTCCCAATCCTTTCTAAGTAAAAAAAAAAATTAACAGCTTTGTCTGTTTACACTGGTTAGTAAGGATTTTTACTAAACGTTGGACATTGTATTTATTTACTAAATTAAAGAGGAGAGGAGAAAAGTCTATAGTTGTCTTTCATTTCATTCCCATGTTCTTGAAGGCTGAGAAAGCCCCACATTTTCACCCAGATTTAAAATTTATGCAATGATTTTGAAAGGATACTAAATTTATCCTTTCGAGGCAAAGCCAGGGGCAACATAAAACCTTTTTGGATGTTTCAGGAACCCGTTCAACTGGCCTGACTGCCATTTCTGTTAAAGTTCAACCTTCCTCCCTTCTTAAATAGGCTCATTCCAGAACTGAGGTTGTTCTCTTGTTTTCTGAGCAGAGAATTTAGACAGACAGAGAATTTAGAGGAATACCTGTATCTCTCTCTCTCTCTCTCTCTCTCTCTCTCTCTCTCTCTCTCTCTCTCTCTCTCTCTCTCTCTCTCTCTCTTTCACACACACACACACACACACACACACACACACACACACACACACACACCCCACACACACACACACACACAATACAAGCATAGTAGTTATCCATTCCTGCCTTATAGTCGAAGGATAGATATTTTAATCTCTATTTTTAACATTCAAAAAGACGTTTGATTTGACGTTTACACAAAGGTATTTACACTAATCCAACCCCCTCCTATAACATATACACACATATCTGCACATACACATATATGTTTATATGTGTGAACATATATGTGTGTGTGTACATATGTATAAAATCGTTTTGCCTATTCGGCTCTCAGCTCTCTCCTGATAAAGAGAGAAAAAAAGAGGTTCAGTTGACAGAAACACAACTCTTGAAGAGCCATTAGTCTTAGTCATGGTAGGTACATGACCAGAAAAAAAAGGAAAAAAAAACCTGGGAACAACATTTTAGAAAAGACCTAGGCAATAGTTGTCTGTCCTTCGCTTTTTACCTCTTTCTTTTCCCCGCTACCCCGCCCTTTCACTCTTAAAAATTTAGGAGCTAGTTGCTCGTAAGCTAGAGCAGGACTAGGTATTTTTCAACTTCTGCACCAGGGAGAGACTAGGGCTCAGCCTATGGGACATGGGTAAGGGAAAATGTTGCTTGTCAGGACCTACCCCTTCCACTCTTAGGAATGGAATAGAGAAATGGTCAAAGGCGGGGAATGCTTAGTTAGCTCCATCAATACTAATTCTGCCTCCGTCGGATTTTGCCCGTGTTCAGTTGATAATTAGCCTGACGGGAGCTTTTGTGAGTTGAATCATTCCTAGTATCTGGAAGGCGGCTTCCCGCCGGGCTTACAGAAGTTGTCCCAGGGCTGGCGGAATCGTATTTTCTTTCCGTCCCCCACCCCCACCACTCGCTGCTTATGGGAAGCTTTGATGGCCTTTGTACTTTAGATCACGATCTCTTAATTTTATTAAATGCTTCCTGAGGATCTCGCGGGCTTGCCAAAGAGATCCCTTCTCTCCCTTTTGCCTTCTAACTTTCCCGCTTTGCTTCTATTTTCCCCCTTTATGCCTCGCGTCCCTTCTATCAATCTCTTCAGTCCTTCCTTTTCTCTTTCTTCTACCCCAACCTTTCTTTTTTTCTCTTTCTTTCTTTCTTTCTTTCTTTCTTTCTTTCCTTCCTTCCTTCCTTCCTTCCTTCCTTCCTTCTTTCTTTCTTTCTTTCTTTCTTTCTTTCTTTCTTTCTTTTTCTTTCTTTCTTTCCTTCCTTCTTTCTTTCTCTCTCTCTTTCTTTCCTTCCTTCCTTCCTTCTTTCTTTCTCTCTCTCTTTCTCTCTTTCTTTCTTTCCTTCCTTCCTTCCTTCTTTCTTTCTCTCTGTCTCTCTCTCTCTCTCTGTCTCTCTCTCTCTCTCTCTCTCTCTCTCTCTCTCTCTCTCTTTCTCTCTTTCTTTCTTTCTCCTTCCTATATACTTGATTCTTCTCCCTTTCTCCAAGGGCTTTCCAAACGCGAAAATTCTTAGCGGATCACTAGAATCAACTTCTGACATTACCCTTGTGCCGGTTCAGAGAACAGCATCCTCCCTCCGTTCACCACACTGATTCGATCTTTCCTCTTCCCTTCAAAGTTCCTTAATCGCTTAGCCCGGGTTTCGCACTAGCTCCACAACCGAAAATAAATATATTCTGTGTTGGGTCAGGAACTAAGCGATCTCAGCTATCTCAGCGAAACTCCACCGCTCCAATCCTAGACGGTTGGTTGGATAGCGTCTCTCGGCAAAAAGCTCTTTAAATGAAAACTGAGTGCTCTGGTGGGGTACGTAAAGGCACCACTTTTTATTTTGCCTTTTTGTTGTTGTTGTTATCTAGTTTCCTATTTGGTTTCTCAACTTTTTCATTCCGATGTAAGGTTGTTGGCTTCAGTTACGGGGGAAAAAGCATTGCATGTGGGAATAAAATATGATTCCCTCAAAGGGAAAATAAAGGAGTAGGTTCTTATTATTAGCGATGCAAAATGCGAAGCCTGGCGAAAACACCAAATAAGAAATTGACTTCTATTGAAACTTGCCTTGCAACCTGATCTATTTCTTTCTTTATCTATTTCTATCTACCCATGTATTCATCCATCTACATACCACCTATCTTCTTCAGTCTCTCTATCTCGTTATGTCTTTCCTCTACATCCATCCTTTCAGAAACAATTTTCAAAACAAAAATTAAAAATCTCAGTGCCATTCAAATGAGGCTCAAAATTAAAGTAATTTCCATCATTCTCTGGCACAAAGCATAGCGAGCCTTCTTTTCCCAGCGTTCTCTGACATTCTTTCTATATTCAATCACACTAGATTCCATCCTAAAGCCCCAAAATATTGGTGTTTTTTTAAACAAGAAGAAAATAAAAAGAAGTCTTTTACGCTTAATCTTCTCCATTCTAACATTACAGGTCTCCTCCGACGGTTAAAGTCTCCCCAAGCAAGCTTTGCCAAAAGTTCAGGGACTTCGAGGAAACCAAACAAATATCTGCAAGTAAATCTCTGTTTAAATTTATCTATTTGGCTTCCAAGAATTTCTAATTCTATATCTATAGCTATAAGGTGTATATAAGGATGTCTGCTTACCTCATAGATGTCTTCGTACTTGACATTTTCAACCAGTTTCCAGAGCATGATGGCAGCCTGTTCTCTAGGAGGTGAGTGCATTCATGTGAAGAGCAGATGTCTGGATTCTCAGTACTTCTCTGTCTGAAATGATCCATCTATAATTGGAAATGGGGGATAGACACCAAATCCGGCGCTCCTCTCCCATCGCAACTTATATCTGTTGTCTGAAACAATAGGCTGGAGAAGTAAACCTCAGTCGGATAGTAAAACATTATCTGTTACACACAGAGGACTTATATGCAACATATATATATATATATTAAATATGATATACGTGTATTTACACCCATGTACACACACTGTTAGCTATATAGCACTTCTGGGTCATACATAGAATAGAGGCTCTAAATGTTCATTTAATGAATAGATATCTACTCCAGGTGATAAATATGTTTAAAAACCTCCATATTCAAAATGATGAATCATCCAAGTCTGTGCCTGATTTCCCCATTTATAATGAAGAAAGAGGGGGCCATTAGTCCCCTATTTCTATGTAGATTTTGGGGGAAAGGGACCCTCACCAGGGTATTTAAACACAAAAGCTTCTATTCATAGGGAGGGGAAAACTGGTTTTTGTAAGATGGATCTTGGGGTTTTTAAAGACGGTGTCTCTATATTTATGGCTCCCACTTATGTAACTTGGCTCCCCTTTCATTACAAAACACACACATACACACACAAAAGCTCACCAAGGAAGCCAATTTTAATGCTTCCTGGCCATCTTTCTAAAGACATTTGGAAACTTAAACATTGTATTGAGCTCTTGGATCTGTATTACTTGTGTCTTTTTTGATATGTGTGATTTCAGCAGACGATATCTCATTCATGCCTCCGGATTCTCCATTTTATGAAACTTTATCATAGAATTGGGCCATTAAAATATATTTTATCTTGAAGTCTTCAGAATGCTTGCAAAGACACAGAAGACAATATGCTGACATATATGCTATAGCAGACACTTAATAAATGTTTGTTAAATTAAATTGTTTATAATCTGAAAGTTTCATAACTCCAGATCAGGGTTCTAAAATACTTACATTTCTGGAAGCTTTTAGTAAAGAGACTATATAAAAAGAAGTATAACTATTATCTCCCCTCTCCCCCACCTATTTTATCCCACAATGAAGCAAGTAGTTGCCTTTCGAATTTAACAAAACCACAGAAATGGGAACCTTTAAGAAACAGAATCTCTCACTTGGGCACCCCAAAATTGATGAGAGTGGAATTTCACCCCCTTTGCTCCCCTCCGCCCGACCAAATTCCCCACGACTGCATCAGAGGATGCAAATGTCACAGCAGCCAGTGGGTCAGCCCACAGGGGGCTCTTCACCCTTGGGGGAGAAAATAAATGACAGGCAGGAATCATAAGGGAAACAGAGCAATTTGGGGTGGAAGTTATTAAAACTGATAAGAGGGAATCGCTGTAAAGGCGGATTGCCTTTAAATCCACTGCTGCTGTGTGGTGTTGTCAGTGAGGAAGGTTATAAAGATCTTCAGCTGGCGGAAAGAGCTTCTTGTAACTGGGGGTGTGGTGTGATGGGGGTGTGGTGGTGGTTATCGATTCTATTGAAAAAGGCTGCGGAGGAGGGGAGGACTTCAGTGGTGGAGTAAAAGAAATGGTAGAACATTTCTTTCTTTTTGTTTTGTTTTGTTCTTAGTAGATCAGTCATATGAAAAAGAACACACGGGTAACATTATTAAAGGAAATCTAGAAATAAATACTTCCTTTACAAGCAAGCCTTTTGATTTTTATGACTTCCTTAACTTTCCCGTGAAACACAGGGGCCTTATACAGGTTTACAAGCCTGTGTTCTCTGCAGATTTTCCCTTCCTTATGGGAAGGCATTTTTCCCCCTTTTTGCTCCCAGAAGATAGCTTAGGGAAGGATGAGGGCTTAGTATTTCTCTTTCCTAATCTTATTGTAGTGTAGGCACTGGATATCAGTTCCCCCAGGAAAAGTAAAATCAGTCCCTCATCAGTTTTTTGCTAGATAAATATTTTAGGGTCATAAATTCAGATTCACCAGCTCCATATTTATTAGTGGGAATTTGGTCCTCTTGCCCCATTCAAATCAATACTTCTATCTCCTTTGTTTGCAGATAATTCCAAATGTAGAAGACATTGGAATTTTTTTAAATGCTTTTTACAGCTTTTAAATATATAGCTTTATAATATCATTTGATTAAATAATCTAGCATATCTCCAAAGCAAATAAAATCTAAAGGCTGTTGAAGGCAAAGATATGAGATGGAATAGTTTCTGGACTACACATTTCTCTCTAGAACCATTAACAAAAACCCCAATGTATCTATTTTTTAAAACTTATACACACGTAATATTTAAAATCTTGTAAGAGATCCACAGTTAATTTAGTTCATTTTAATGCTCATATTTTTTTTTCAAAATTCCAAACTTCTTTGGATTCCTTGCAATTGATTTCAATCTGAATACTTATGTCAGGTTTTGTTAAAAACAGAGAAGATGAAAAATTAAAATATGCATAGTTACTCAGAAATATAAGGAAACATATTGTGATAACTAAAATCTAAGTAATTATCATTCATTGCTTCTACTTTAAAGATTTTAGAAACCTTTAAGGCAAAAAAATTTTTTTGAAATTAGCCTTTGGAGTGTCATTGAACAGGACAATAGCGCCCTCTGTTGGGCTTTTGTATAAGCTATTTTGTACCACTTGGATTTCACTTCTACTCCTAAGACCTTTTTGGGTTTCAATCAGTTAGGCCTAATGGAAGCTTCTAAGTTTGAAGTGTGATATTCCTACTAATCTTAACACAGGTGTTTCTATGTATGTAGAGCATGGTTCAGACACTTAAAGACCAAACAAATCAAAGTCTAAAAGGTGTTGAATAATCTCCATAACTTCATTTGCTCTTTTTAAAAAAATTTTTAAGCAATTATTGTTTTCAATTTATATTTTCCCTATTATTCTGCATAAAAGGGTGATCCTGAAAGAACACAATACATGAAACTTAATACAAAGCAAAATAATAGATTTTGACTTCACCAAGAAAGTAGGAAACAATTTCAAATGTCTATTTAACTCATTATTTAGCAATACTTTCTGGTTTCATGGAAAAACTTTGTATCAAGGTATAGCTTCTCACACATATGTTTATAATAACAGACTATTTCTTTATGGGATTTTTTTGGTTGATGTATTTTTTTGTTTTTGTTTTTGTTTTTGTTTTTGTTTTCTTTGTTGGTTTTGGGTTTTTTTTTTTTTGGCATCCAGGCATCTTTAGGTTCATAAACCCATCTAGAGAGGAGCCCTCTGCTGGTGGTTGTTAGCTTAGTAGAAACTGGTGAGTCTGTGTTCTTTTGCTTTGTTTTGTCTTACAGGCTTCCTTAAAATTAAAAAGAAAAAAAAATGAAAAAAAAAGCTTAATTAATCCTAGTAACTTGCCTACCTATTTCTCTTTTGTCCTTAAACTGAGCTAAAAATCATCCACTTTAGACATTCCTTTAGTCTTCCCTTGTTACTTACTGGGAATAAAAAAACCCCAAAACCAAAAAACAAAACTCTTAATTTTTTGCTTCTCCCATCTCAGCCATAGGCCCCAGGCTTTAAGGGTCCTTCAAGTAGAAAAGATCTGAGGAGTGGTCTCCATGTTTTCCTGCTTTTTTTGTCTTTTCTAGTCACAGACTACTCATTCTTTTAGTTTTTCTTTCCTTTCTGAAGAAGAGCAAATTTTCTTTCATCAAAAAGAAAACTGGAATTCTGAAATGTTGTCCAATCTCTTTGAATACATTATAGAATCATCTTTGCTCTAAAAGCTCTTACAGATTGGATTTTTTAAAACTTATCACCTAAGTGGGACTTCTCTTCCTTTTTCTACTTCCCTTCCTTCCTTGAGCTTAGTATTGGTATCTAGGATGCTAATAGTGGCACAATAGATGAACTTCTTACTCTGCTTATAAGTCTTTTCTTAATTTTTAATTCAAACACATTTACAGGAGTGTCCTGGAACTAGCTTCCTTCCAGCTCCTGAGAGCCAGTTCTTAAATTTTCAGCATGAGCCTTTACACTTTGGAAATTGGCAAGTGCTAGAAACCAGGGCTTGATTTATTGTTTTATTGATTTCTAGACTTGAGAAAATGATGGAGAAAATGTTAATGATTCAGATTAAACTTCAAAGTGTGTCATATGTATATTCTGGGGGGGGGTAGGGTAAGAGCTGATTATTATACATTTGCCAGTATACTCCTGAATAAATATTTCTGATTCATCTGAATGCATTCACTATTTTGATACTAGTTAGATATTTAGGAAGGCTGTAGCCCACTGGAGTTTCTGTGACAGAATCACAGACTACATCCAAAATATATAATAAAGAGACATTAGTCAATGTTGAAAGTTTACTGCATCAAAATGCACACAACTTTTACCTGTGTTCACAAATGACATCTTGAATTAACTTGAAAAAACTACACTTAACTTGAATTGAAGAAAAATCCTCTGGTGTCCTCATTTTTCAATAAAAAGAATTATCCCACAATCTTATTTTGCTAGAATGAAGTCAATCAATCAATCAATTAACACACATTCATTAAGAGCTGTCAGGTACTGAGAAAAATAAAACAGTCCTTTTCCTCAAGAAGTTGATTCAAGTTCTTTATGCATTTTTGCCTTATTTTGACTGTGTAATGAAGCTGTGATGAAATACTTGTACTATGCCATGGCAGAATAAGGGAAGGGAATAAGCATTTATACAGCATCCACAGTTTACCAGGCACTGTGCTAAGTGCTTTTAGAAATATTATCTCAGAACAGCTCTGGGAGGTAGATACTATTCTTATCCCCATTTTGAAGCTGAGGAAACAGAATCAAAGTTTAAACGACTTGTCCAAGGTCACACAGCTAGTAAGCATCAAAGGCTAGATTTGAACTCTAGCATTTCTGACCCTAGGCCCTTCACTCTATCCACTGTACTACCATCCTCTGTCTCTAGTGTTGATAGTAGTGTCCATGTATAGAAATTATTTATGGCACATTTTCAATATGTGTGAATGTTCTCTATGTCATAAAAACAAAAGCGGCATGTCTTTTAACATGATGGGACATATCTATAGATGTAGAAGAGAATATCTTTTAATAGAATTATGACTAGATTAAGTATTGCTTTTCTTTTGGGGGTGATATAAGGAAAGAAGAATGAAGGAAGCAGAAAAATGGATAGAGACAGAACTAGGCAGAGGAAGAAGAGAAAGGAAAAGAAAAAGGAAAGAAAAAGGAAGAGGAGACTGTATAGGTCAGAGAATTTAAGAGTTAGACCTCAGGGTCCAACCTATAGCTGAGCAGGAATCTTCCATACAACATACCTATTAAGTTAGAGCTGGATGGGACCTTTAAGCTGCTTCCTTTTTTAGGCGAGAAAACTGAGGCCCAAAGAAATTAAGGGATCTATCCAATGTCAAACAAGTAGCAAATTGCAAAGGCAAAAAACTGAACCCAAGTCCTTTGCTTCTAAATCCATTGCTAGGGTGACAGTCTTTTTTGAAGACCTCTTGTAAAGGAGTATCCAGTACCTCCAAAGACAGACCCCTCCCACTTTTAGATAGCTATAGTTACTAGTAAGTTTTCTTTGACATCAAGCTTAACTACTTTGCCGCTTCCACCAAGTGCTCCTAGCTCTGCTCTTTGGTGCTAAGCTGAGCATTTCTCCCCACCCCCCTTTTTTTTTTACTAGGCAATGGAGTTAAGTGATTTGCCCAGGGTCACACAGCTACTATATGTGTCAAGTGTCTGAGGCTGGATGTGAACTCAGTCCTCCTGACTTCAAGGCTAGAACTCTATCTAGTGCACCACCCTTTTCTACAAAGAAGACCTTCATATACTTGAATATGACTATCAGAGGCTATCTAGGTCTTCTCCAGGATAATAATCTTTAGTTCCTTCAAGTGATCCTTGTGTCATGAAACCCTTTACTATCTTGGTCGCTCTTGCTTGGACATACTCCAATTTATCAATATGTTTCCTAAAATGTGGCACAAGATCAGTTGACCCAGGATTAAAGGTAAATAAACCCCATAAGCACAATGGCCAGGAAACTGCAGGGAAGAACACAATGTATATAACTTTTTAATAAATGTGCATGTTTTAAGACCAGAAAAATTCTTTTTTCGTTGACAGGTAGATACTTATTTCTCATATATTGGAAAATGTTGTATTTGTAGCACTTGGGCTCAAACCCTGGTTCAGTCAATTACTACCTGGGTGACTTGTGTTAACCTTTTTGGGCCTCAATTTATTCACCTGTTAAATGAAAGGGTTAGATTAGATGATGTCTAAGGTGACTCTTAATCTATGCCCCTAAGTTACATATAGTTGCAGTAGATAGTAATCCACAGTGAACAACATTTTCAAACTTTGCCTGGAATCTGCAAATGCTTTGGTTTAACTTTGGATTTGGTAGGTTCATTGTCCAAAGCAAACTCATCCTGTGAAAATCTCCTAGCCATTGCTTTCAGGGGGCAAAATCTGAAAATGACAAGATTGTATCCAAAATATAGCATAAGAAATATAGTGCAATAAAACAGGACACTGGTTCTGGAGTCAGAGGATCTGAGTTCATTTCTTGTCTCTGATACCTCCTATCTGAATAAAGTTAGTCAATTCACTTACTAGGCTTCAGTTTTCTCCTCTCTCAAATGAGAAGATTGGGGATTAGATGGCTTTTGAGGTCTCTGACAGCACTTCATCTATGATTCTATGAATAGACCAACAAAAACCTTCAAACAGCAATAACAACAAAAGGCAAATAAACTCTTAGAAGAATGTAGGGCTGAAATATAATCTTTAAAGCATGATTAAACACGCATGATACATATATGATATATACATACGTGTATATATATACACATAATCAAAATACAATTTCTTCTTAAGTGATTCTTTGACAAAATTGTGAGTTCACATGGAATGTATAGTATATAGAAAATTATCTAATATATAGGTAATTCACTCACATTCTCTGCATGTGCATTCTCACATTAATAACTCTGATACTTTGATGGATCTGTGTTGTAACTTAAATGGGTACTGCCTCTGGCAATAAAGATTGAAGCCCATCCATGCCTCCTCATCCTAGGCAATTTTTGTCAGCATCTTCTTTTGATTCCTTCACAGGGTGTCACCCAATATGTTGGAGGCCTTCCTCTATATCTCTTGACATTGTGGATACCAATGGAATATTAATGCTGTCCACCCACTATTCCTTGCTTTTACTGCATGATCAACCCACCCTTCCTTTGTGTGTTCTTGGTCTATTTCAGCCGCTCTTCCCATCTTTATTTTTTCTCTTGGGTGTGTGCAACTTCTTCCTCATGTAGCAGGCTGGGAGAAACGATGTAAGGGAGTAAAATATGATGGCCACACCATTGGTGGAGGCTAGTTTGTTAGAAATATCTTGACTTTTTTTTTCCACAGTTTTTTGTCATCCCGCATTTACTTTTAACTTTAAATGTTCACAGAATGATCTAGTTTAATTGGGTCTCTTTCCAAACTTTCTATAAATTCATTGTTCAATCTACCATTTCTCATCAACTTATGAGATAATACAGCTAATAATCTTCATATTTTAGGAATAAATTAATTCTACAAATTAATATTCTTAGTTGCCATATTTCTTTGGTCAGAAAGAAGGCCAAGTGTTTACTGGTCTGGGGGACCCTGGACTCTTTTGTTTCCTTCATCATAGTGATTAATTTATATCAGTTACACTTTTGTGATGTCATTGATCCTCTCTGGAAAAAAAAAACCAAAACAAACACTGACCTCCCTCTTCCCTTCACCTATCCCTGCTTCAATGATTTTTTTTTTTGGTTCAAGTTATATTCAAGATTATATACAAAACGTTTCCAGACTCAAGGGGGCTTAATCCTCCTCCTCTTCCTCCTCTTCGTCCTGGTTGATCTGGAGGTACAGTGATTCCTAACTCTCCTTGCTGCTGGCCACCACCCGCAGCCAATCCCGAAGGTCGTTCTTCTTTAAGTCACGGCTATCTTATTCTTGCTTCTCTCAATGGTTACGACTCAGCCACCGAGGTTGCCAGCCTTTCCGTTCACTTTGATTCGTTCTTGTAAAAACTGCTGGAAATTAGCTGCATCCATAATCCCATCTTGCACAGGGTGTGTACAATCCAAGGTAAACTTAAGAACTTGCTTCTTTTTTCAGTCGCCCTCCATCTTCACGGGTACCATGGCAATCGAGGAGCCAGAAAGGGACTCCAAGCACAGCGCAGGCTCAAAACCCTCTGCTTCAATGATTTTTTTTAAAAAAAACTAAATCATGTTAAAGTTCTCT